GACGAAGTCTACGCGTATTGAGCCAACGCAGACCAGACCAATCGAGAGGACAACCAAACGACATCACATGGACGCGAACAGCCCAAGATACTGATACATGGGCGGCAATCGAGCATCATTACACCGACATTACTCTAGCAAACACCCTGGACCAAGACCCATAGAGTCAACGCCCAGAGAACGTCGATACGACACGCCCAGTCCGCGCCGACACCGACACCAAGGACTTCCTCTTCTTTCTCCCCCTATCCTCCGAACTTTTTATGCGTCCCGCATTGCATGCAGCCAAACAAGCCCGATTCTCGAGCCCACGGCCTTACCCACCTGGTCCGATCTAGGCCTGGACGCTGTCCGCACCGTTGGTTGCTTCGTCGAATCGCATCGCATCGGGGTGCGGCAGGGAAATGTTCTTGATAATGAGAAGGGATGGAGGAGGAGGAGGAGGAGGAGGAGGAGGAGGAGGAGGAAAACGAGGAGGAGGAGGAGGAAAAGGTGGAGGAGGAGGAGGAGGAGGAGGAGGAGGAGGAGGAGGATGAGGAGGAGGAGGAGGAGGAGGGGGAAGAGCAGGCACACGAGAATGAGGTGGAGTAGTTGGAGAAGCAGGGGGGGGGGGGAATTTCGAGATGATGACTAAACACTCGTTGCTTTCGACTTGATTTACTCAAGCAGTCTGCAGAAGAGGACGTGAAAGTGCTGGCGCCATCCAGTCCGAGCGGTACTGTTTGAGCACCAGCTGCTGGAGGATCCCCGCTCGGGGCTCGACTCGCCATGGCACCGAGTGGACGTTCATGGAAACGAGAGGCAACGAGAGGGAGAGAGAAAGAGAGACGTCGAGGTCGTAACATCTCGCTTCAAGCAGGGGGGGGGGAGGCGCCACCAACCCTGCGCACCGGAAACCTCGAAACGGCGTGCGGCAGACTCGCGCCGCGCCGATGTTCGTCGGCGGCCCCAGCGCGGACGCTCGAACGCCGCCGGGGGCCCAGAGTCGGCCAGCGTCGAACGGTCTGGCGCGACCGGACAGCGGCGATCGCTTAAGTTCGATTGTCGATCCATCCGCTCCATCGCGGCACGACGTTGCCTCACGCCGCCCTCGGCAGGAGGGGGAGGACGGAGCTCGGAGGAGGAGAGCCGTGCAAGGCAGGGGAGGAAGAAGGATGTCTTGTTGCATCTTGCTGTTTCTCGATTTCGTTCTCCTCCTCCCCCCCCTCCCTCCCTCGTCCTCTCTCCCTCCCTCGCTATTTCTCTTTCCGCTCCCCCTCCTCCTCCCCCCCCTCCCGCTCTTCACTTCCGAAACCCGCCGCCGAGCAGAGTCCCCGCCCCCACCGAGCGGAAACGCGGCCCCACAGCCGCCAGGAGTGCACCCGCAAAGCCCGCGCGCGGGCGGCCCGCCGCCCGACGACGAGGAGGCGGCCCTCGGCGCATGGGCGCGCGCTAGCGTGCCGGCGAGGTCCCCGCAGGCGCCGCCGTCGTCGTCGTCGCCGTCGTCGCCGTCGTCGCCGTCGTCGCCGTCGCCGTCGTCGTCGTCGTCGTCGTCGTCGTTGTCGGCGTCGTTGTCGTAGTCGTCGTCGTCGTCGTCGTCGTCGTCGTATCGTGGTCGTCGTCGTCGTCGTCGTCGTCGTCGTCGTCGTCGTCGTCGTCGTCGGCGGCTGGAAGATCGCGTCGGCGGCCCGTGAACACGCCGCCTTAACACCCAAACCCTGCTTTATGCAACCCAAACTTTCCCGTCTAGCGTCTGGGCCCCTGCTGCCCGCAAGGCGGGGGCCCATCTCGTCCACTTCAAGCGACGAAGGCAGGCAGAGAACCGGGCAGAACCCGTCGGTGCTCACGTGGATCACCCAGTTCCGTGCGAGATCCTCTGACCCGGGTTTGGGAGCCACCTGAGGCCGACCCCGTTCCCCTGCTCCCCGCTGACCTGGGTTTTGGGGCCGCTTCGTGGCCGGCCTGGGCTCGGTTAGTGCGTTTCCGAACCCCACATACATGCATGCTGCGGGAGCATTGGCTGCGTAGGTGTAAAGACAGCCAGAAGGGGCCGAGGGAGACTCCTGAGACGCTGACGCCCATGACAGACAACTTCATTAAGAAAATTGGGGGACCACGGTTGGACTAGGCAAAGCAGCTCCATCAGTACGCCGTTCGTGTTTGCGGAAATGGAAGAACTCAGGAATTTCAAGATGCAGAGCGGTTGTATTCAGTCTCAGCTGTGAGTAGGGTGGCATGCCCGAGCTGAAACGAGCAACGCGGGGCTTCCCAGGGCCCAGATGTAAAGCTGGGACGAGGGCCTCAGTGTTTCGATTAACTGGTCGTCGATTCCCGCCAGGGCCGACCTTTCGCGCACGAGTAGGAACAACAGGTGTAAGGAACATTCCATGGGGCCCTGGGTGTGCCTGGGACGTTGACCGACGCCCACGGCATTCGGTGTGCCTGTCTCGTCGACTGAAGGCTTCAGGTCTCCCCTATGGACCACTCTGCCATCTGCAATCGCGATGGCTCAATATCGATATTTGTGCGCACGTTGTCTTGAGAAACAAGTCTTTCTCACGTCTTGTGTCATATGGCATATGATCGGGCAGAGTGTTCGATAACATCCCATTGGCACCCACTGTGCCACCGCGTGGGGCAACACATACAAACAAACAAAACCAGCTTCACACGGGTTATGAGTCAAAATTTGCGCCCATCATTCGATTATTATTGGGACTTGTGTGTGTGTGTGTGTGTCAATGCCCAGTTGGCTCCAACATGGTGATCGTGTGGAAATCCCGTGTGGCGAGTGCTCAGTGGTTCTCGGCTACGGTGTGGGCTACTTTTGGCGGAGCGATGGCGACAGTTCTTACCGCGGCTGTGGGATTGGTCCGAGGAGCAGTGGCAGCAACCCTCGCTGCGGCCTCCACCAGCGCGCCAGAGCACCCAAAACATAGATGAAACACTACGTTGACCACCGCGACGCAGCTTGTCCGCAAGGGCGCTGCCCAAAGCGCAGCTGGCGTTGACGGCGTTCAGCCGAGGGGAGGGGCTTTGCTTCCGTTTGCCCCGCCGAGAAAACGGGGCGCGCCCCGCAGCTCCGAAATGAGGATTGTATCGGCTTCCTGGCTAGCTCTTATTACCGCAATGCAGCACCAACCTTCACGAAACAGTTTGTCGACAGGAAGGTCCCCCCATCTTCTGCGGACATGTCCGTCGACGCCGAGGAGGAGCAGGGCGGGCATTAAACTGGTGCTTCGGCAGCCGCTGCGGGAGCGCCTGCAACCTTGGCCGGCACCCCGTGCGGGTTTGCGGGATTGCTTCTGCCAGATGCGTTCACGAAGGTCGCTTTGAGAGTGCTTGGGCCGTCGGGCAGCACCTCCAGTGATTTAACCCACAAGCCACGCGCCAACACTTCACTTCGACAGACGTTGTTATCAAACTCATGTTGGGCCGCCTGGGCAAGTGCGACTTCGTGCGGACTCGCATGGGCAACCAGCAGGTGATCATGAGAGATCTGACGCGGCTTACAAGGAGGATGGACGCGATGGAGGTGCCGTGCACAGATGGATCCAGGGAGCATCAAGAATAGTACGACGATGCACGTGTAGTACAAGGGCACGACATCCAATAAACTCCAGTTTTGGAGCTGCCAACACAATTGACTGGTATGGGAGGGGGTGAGGCTATGCGCTTTTCTCCCTCTCGCGCTCTCTCTCTTTTTCTCTGTCTCTCTTTCTGTCCGTCTCCTGCCTGTCTGTCTGTCGGTTAGTCGGTCGGTCGCAGTCTAGGCTCAAGCCTCAAGGGGGTCTGCGAGCTTTGGCGATGCCTTCGAGCGGTGAGACCGCCTCCCTCGCCCAGTCGGGGCAACCGAATCATTTTCTCCAATCCCCCCCGCTGGCGCGCGCCATGGCCCCTCCGCGCTCGCTCCGCCGCGCGACCTCGGCACCCCCGCCAGCGGCTGAGCCGACTGGGGGCCCTCGACGCACGGCGCCCAACCCCGAGAGCAAATTCGCGCGAAAGGGCGCGCGCGTCGAGGTTTTTCGCCAGGGAGGAGGTAGCCGCCGAGCGCCCGCCTGCAATGAGCTCGCCCACCGGCAACGCATTCGAGGCGGCCTGGGCCACCCGCCGCGGTTCCCCAGAAGACTTCCGACGCGCGCTCCACCGCCGGCGCGCCGCCTGCAAGGTTCCCCGGGCCCGTTCGCATTGTGAGCGCACCCGCGCCAGGAAGCCGACGGGCGACGAGGCTCAGCCTCAGCCGCCCAAGGCGGCGGTCGCCGCCCCATGCGAACCACCGGGGGCGCGCAAGTCACCGAGGCTCACTGGGCGCAAGAGCGGGCGCGACCACGCGCGGAGCTCAATCTCTTTGTGCGCGGCCGAGGGCGCGCTAGCCATCCTGGCTGCGCTCCAACGCGAGGACGAACCCCTTGCCGCGGTTGCCCTCGGCCCCGAGGGCCCGCAGTGCGCGGGCCTCGAGTGCGAAGCCCCCGTCTCAGCGGACGCCGCAGTCCGCTCGACCGCAGCCCGCCCGCCTCGATGCTGCAATTCGCCGGGTTGGTCGCAGCGAGGTTCCAGGCGTCCGGATTTCCATGGAAGTGGGGCTCGGCCCCGCGCTGCAAGTTGCACGGGTCCGTGGTGCCATCTGGGAAGACGAAGCCACGGCTGCCACAGACGGAGCACTTGTCGAGCTGTTCGCCCTGCAGTTCGCAGGCGGCGCCCCGATCAAATGGCAGCGCGGGCCAGGCGCGGGGGGCGGCCCTGCTCGGCAGCGCGCCGCGCAGCTTCGCCACGAAGCCAAGGCCAACCCCGAGAAGCTGGCGCTAGACGCCGAGCTCCAGCATGGCCTCGACTTTCCGCGTGCGCAGCTCATCCCGCGCGCGGCCATTGTCGAGACCTGCAAGTCCCTGTTTGGCCGGGGGGCGCAGGCGGCAGGCGGGCAGGCGCAGTCTGTCGGCCGCTATCGGCGTCCAGCCCGTCCAGCCAGTCTGTCGACGCGCTCAGCGCGTCTGGCTTGCGATGGGCGCACCATCGACACCTCCCTCGCCCGAGGCGCTCCGCCGACCGACGCTGCCGCCGAGTGCGACTTCACTTGGCGCCCCGACCCCTGGCCAAACTTCGCCTCGGCCCACGCTGACTCAGTCGAGCTGAAGGCCGCGGGGGCTCGCCGCAGGCCCGGACAAAAAAGGGGCGCCCGCGTTGGCCTGCGAGCGCCCGCGCAGCCCGACGTCGCCGAGGCGGCTTCTCTGGCGCTCCGCGGCACCGCCGCTGCCTTGCCGCGATCAAGTACCGCGCCGCTGGCATCGGCGCCGCAGTTGCGGCGCGCGGCCATATTCTCGACATGCTCAAGACTACCGACCCTGAGGATCTCGTGTTGCCGAAAGTGGACCGGGGCCGAATCTAGGTCATATATGACAAAGGTCACCAAAAAGGACTGGTGCTGTATCGTTATTGTCAAGGGGGGGGGGGGGGGGGGGGGGGCCTCCTCATGAGTTCACATACTAGAACTCTACCCAGTCTAGCCAACATGAAGCTCCCACAATCCGTATATGCGATCGTAATAACATGACGTGCAATATCGAGATTCCGGTTTGCTCTACATGATATCGGTCGTCAAATTTTATACCATATCCGCATTTGCTCTTGCAAGTGGGCCCGCGTATCATGCGCCAGCGCGCATTATTGGACGGCGCGTTTTCGATGAGGGTGAGAGTCGCGCGCTGATGGCATTCACGCGCCTGGAGGCCGGAGTCTTGGAAGACCCTGAGGGGTCAGCGGATTCTGACATTCGGCGAGGTGCTTATTTTGGAGACGCCTGCGTGCGCGCGATTGTTTGCTTGCTCGCTTGCCCTGCTTGCCGTGCTTGCTTGCTGTGCTTGCCTCGTTTCCCCCTCCGAAATTGACCAACCCCGTTGCCGCCCCCGTCGGGGTGTCGATATTTGCCGCGGCGTGAAATCATGCGAATCCACATGCGCGTGGATGCATTTGCAAATCTGGCCGTTCTCCGAGAAACTAACAGAAACGAAAAACCGCATGTCCGTCTCCAGGGCGTCCTCTCCCTCCTCCGCCCCTCATCCTCGCGCAGCCGTGTTGGCGCGTGCCCGGGCGGGCTTGGGTAGTTCCTTCGCTGCCTTCAGCTGGACCAGGCCCGCGCGGCCACCGCCCCGCCGAGCCTTGTCGCGCGCCGATCGGGCGCGCCATCGCGATGGCCACTCTTCGCGAGGTGCTCGGCCGCGCGGCATGCGAGGGCGCCGCTGCGGAGATCCCGATCTTGCAGTCGTTGGAGTGCCATGAGGTCCACAGTCAGGAACCTGAGACGCTGCGTCCAGGAACGGAGGTGGAGGGGGCTCGACGCCGAGGTCGAGGCGCCGCTGGGGTGGAGGATGAGGCGTGTCAGCCCAGGGTCGTGGACGATGCGCAGCGTCGGCCCGCGCGGCCCGAGTCGCGGCGCCTGGGCGTTCGTCCGACAAGCCGCCAGTGCAAGTGGCCCATCGACGTCAACGCGTCAGACAAGTAGCGGGGTGAGTGGTCTCCGCCGCGGCGTGTGTATGCCCCTCCGCGTGGTGTGTGTGTGTGTGTGTGTGTGTGTGTGTGTGTGTGTGTGTGTGTGTGTGTGTGTGTGTGTGTGTGTGTGTGTGTGTGTGTGTGTGTGTGCGCCTGTGTTTGTGTGTTTGTGTGTGTTTGTGTTTGTGTGTGTCTGTGTCTGTGTGTGTGGGCGATGGCGGGCTGGCCGAGGGCGAGGGGGCCATCGGCAACGGCGACCAGGTCGTTCGCGAGGAGGCCGAGGGCGAGGGGGGCCATCGGCAGGGGCAAGGGCGAGGGGACCATCGGCAATGACGACGAGGCCATGGTAGTGGATTGTGATGACGGTGTGCTCGCCAGCGTGTCGTTCGAGGATCAGCTGAAGATGGCGGAGGGGCTTCCTTCGCAACATCCGCAACCCAAGGCCGGGGAGGTGTTCGACGGTGACATGAAGCTGGCAACGTCGCAGTCTGTTGTTGGCCAGCAGCGTGGGGACTCTGCGCCAGATGCCCGCCCCCCGCCGACCGCCTCGCAGTGTCGCATGATGGGCGCTGAGTTCGACGAGAAGACAGGGCGCTCCGACGCGGTCGAGACGGGGGCTTGGTCGGGGGGCGCCATCTATCAGACGAAGGCGGCCGATGTAGACCCACTGGAGTTGGGTGGGGCGCTGCAGTGTCCATCGAGATGGCGGAGCAGCGACGCGTGAACGCGGATCCACGTCTCACGCATGAGGTCAGCGCGACGTCTGCATGTTCGGGCGGCATCGCGGAGCGGCCGCCATCTCGTGCGCCGCAGCCGCAGTCCAGGGCATCGACGGCTCCGTCATCGAGGGCTTCGGCTGCTTCGCCACCGCGGGCTTCGTCGGCTCCGTCATCGAGGGCTTCGTCGAGGCCTCGCCCGAGGGCGAGAGAGCTGTCGCCCGCTGCGCCGTCGCCCGCGCTCTGCCTCAGGCCTGCGAAGAGGGCGCCGCTGAGCGAGCGAGAGAGAGGGAGAGAGAGAGAGAGAGTGTGTGAGAGAGAGGGAGAGAGAGAGATAGAGAGAGAGAGAGGAGAGAGAGAGAGAGAGAGAGAGATAAAGAGAGGGATAGAGAGAGAGAGAGAGGAGGGATACAATATCTATATATATATATAGAGAGAGAAAACAAAACACTTGTATGAGGAAGCGAGCGAGAGAGAGGGAGAGAGAGAGAACCAGGCAGAGAGAGAGAGAGGGAACCATAGGGATGAGGATCCGGAGAAATAATTACTCTTCCTTCTCCTCTGCTCCCTCTCTCTCTATTCTCTTTTTTTTTCTTCTCCCCCTCTCTCTCTTTCCCCCCCTTCTCTCTCTCCTTCTCTCTCTCTTTCTCTTTCTCTCTTTCCCCCTATATCTTTCTCTTTCTCTCTTTTTCTCTTTTTCTCTCTCTGGCTCTCTCTCTGTCTGTCTGTCTGTCTCTCTCTCTCTCTCTCCCCCCCTCTCTCTCTCTCCTTTTTTTGGTCTCTCTCTCTCTCTCTCTCTCCCTCTCTCTCTCTCTTTTTTTTTTTTTTTTTTCTCTCTCTCTCTCTCTATTCCCCCTCCCTCAACGAATGCACGCGGCGCCAAAGTGAGAGCCACATTTTGAAAACCACCCGCCCTTATCCCGTGAAGCTCTTAAAGTTTTACTTCGAATGTGCGCGGCGCTAACGCGAGAGCCGCATGTTGAAAACCACCCGCCCTCAATCCGTGAAGCTCTTGCGAATGTTTCAAAACAGTGTGCGCGGCGCCAAGGCGAGAGCCACATTTTGAAAATGACCGAACTCCATGTGTGAAACTGGTTGCCAATTTTCAAGACTCCGGGTCATATTTGGTGAGGAGGTCTCAGGCGGAACGCCCGGCCCGCCCTCAAAAATTTCCTCGGGTTGCGACACGATTTTTTTAGAAGGAGACTGAATGGAGGAAGATGAGGATAAGGGGGAGGGCGAGGAGGAGGAGGAGGAGGAGGAGGTGGAGGAGGAGGAGGAGGACCATGAGGAGGAGGGATAGGAGGAGGAGGAGGAGGACCAGGAGGAGGAGGAGGAGGAGGAGGAGGAGGAGGAGGAAAAGGAGGAGGAGGACTTGGCGGAAGAGCAGGGGCAAAAGCAAGGGGAGGAAGGGGAGCGGAAGACGCAGCCGAAGTGCCATCCAGCAGCCGCCAGAATCGGCAGGAGTTGGGGGATCGGGTCCACGAGGGCAAGAGCCCCTGCCCCGAAAGAAGCTCGTAGCGTCTGCGGGTCCGTCCCGCGCTGCCCTTGCACATCGCTCACCTTACTCCTCGCTTGACTTCATCGCGCAAAAGTTGGCGTATCCAGCGTTGGAGGGGAACGACGGGCGGCGGGCAACGAAGTTTCGAGGTTCGAGGTTGGAGGTTTTGGGATGTTTTCGTTGGTTCTTGGTGGCTTTCTTGCCTCGGGATGCGTTCGAGCAGCTGCGCCTCGCCCAGAGCGTTGTGAGGGTACCCGGATCTTCCCGCACGGCCGCAGCAGAGTCCAGTTATGACCCGAAAGCCATGGAAACGTCGGGCGACGGGCGATGGGGAAGCCACTCAAGCTCTGTCAAGCATCTTCGCGCCCGTCTTGGGGTGGAGTCCCCGCTCTACGCTTCGCACGTGCATCAGCTGGTTAGCGCGGGTGGACGGGACACGGGAGGGACCAGGGCACAGAACTGTGAGTTTCACCGTTCGCCCGCGAGTGCCATGGCCACCATAACTTTTGCAACGAACAATTGGGCCACACGGAATCGTGTCATGCCCTAGGTCTAGCAAGGCCTGAGGCTCTTCCTCCACCTCAGCCTCTGGCTTGCGAGTAGGAGGGCGGTCCACTGCAACAGCATCGGCCTCGGCCCGACAGGAGGCGTTAATGGCATCTTTGACGATCCTCCTCTGAAAGAGGGTGAGCGTTACGCCATGGTCCGTAAAGCGACTACTTGTGGCCAGCTGCTGTGTGGGCAATTGATCGTTGCATTGCCGTAGGCCAGGGATGCAAAGGAAGCCAGCGTACGAGCAAATCTGTCACAATGGTGACAGGGCCAGTCCTGCAACGCCTCGCTGCGCCCAAACTGGTAGCATGGGGGGGAACAGTTAGGGTCGGTTGCTGTCCATGTCTGCACCTGCAGCATTCGCTAAGCTGCCCAAATCACTCAGTTGATGTATTGTTTCCCCACATCCTAGGTGGGGTTATTGTCTTCTCTGCGCACCCCCCGCGCAGGAGAGAGAAAGAGAGAGAGAGAGAGAGAGTGGGAAAGGGAGAGAAAGAGAGAAGGAGAGCGCGAACCTCTTTCACCATCATCAACATGACTATCATCATCACTATTACCACCCCATCATGACCATCCACCATGATCATCATGTGTGACCCTCCGCAATCCTCACTATCACCATCCCAACATGACAATCCACCATCATCATCACTATCACATCTTCACCACCATCATCACTGTCACCATCACATCATGACTATCACCACCATCACCACTATCTCATCTTCACCACCATCATCAGTATCACCATCCCATCATGACCGCCCACCATCCAGCAGCATATCTCTATCATTACCCCACAATGACCATCCACCATCATGACCTCGTCGGTGAGTGAACTTCGATGAAACACCTGGGAGCCTGAACCAAGAGGAAGTATCGAGCGGGAACTTCGTGAGTGAGCAAACTGAATGGCATCTCAGGCGGGAGCCTTGTCTCTTAGTGACCTGCGGGGAAGTATCGAGCGGACTCCCTTCCTTATGGGGTCGCCGCTTCAAGGCGGCCATCCGGACACTGGGAGCCAGAAGCCCGAGGAAGTCTTGAGTGGGAGCCTCGTTCCTGAGCACACTGAGAGGATGGATGCCTCGGGCGCTCGCCTGTGAGTGAATCGCGAGAGAGCCTCGAACGGGAACTCCTCCCAACGGGCCCCTCGCTTCATGCTATCAATCCGAGGCGGCCATCGGGATTCCTGTGGAATCACAGGTTTGGTGACAAGTATGAATCTTCAGAACACCTCGAGCGGGAGCCTCGTTCCTTTGTCGGGCGCCCTTTGTAATCCGAGGCGACCATCCTCAATCAAGCATGTAAGCGTGGGCAAGGACCTGAAGATGCCAGATAGGAAGAGAGTCGCAAGGGCGACGACGAGGATTATTGTAGTGGCCCCCGGCCAGTGCTGCCGATCCGGGGCGCTCCTGATGCTATTGTTGTTGAAATGGACGATGACGACGACAACGGGCGACCAACGGTAGACGAGCGGGATAATTACGACGACGACCGACGAAGGAGTTAATGATGACGAACCGACGACGACGACGACGACGACGACGACGACGACGACGACGACGACGACGACGACGACGACGACGACGACGACGACGACGACGACGACGACGACGACGACGACGACGACGACGACGACGACGACGACGACGACGACGACGACGACGACGACGACGACGACGACGACGACGACGACGACTGACGACGACTGACGGCGAACGGCTGCCGACGGCCGACGACCGACGACTGGTGACGGCGACGGGTGGAAGGTTCTTCGTTCATCGCTTTCGCTTCCGAGCAATACCAAGTCAGGCCGTGTACCTCTGGCCTCGCAACACGCGGGTGAGCGCCTCTTGGGGCCTGTTGGTTCTTGGGGCTTCTTGGGGGCCTTTGGGGCCTCTTGGGGGCCTGTCGGGGTCCTCTTGGGGGCCTCTTGGGGACCTCTTGGGGGCCTCTGGGGGCCCCTTGGGGGCGCCTCGGGGGCATCTTGGCGGCTCTTGGGGTCATCTTGGGGTGGAGGACTAGAAGGGTCCGTTCGGGGTCACCCTCTTGAGGCCATCTTGGGGGCCTCTCGGGGTCGTCTTGGGGGGCCTCCAGGGCTACATTGGGGCCCTCTTGGACCGTCTTGGCTCCTCTTGGGGGCCTCTTGGGCTGTCTTGGGGCGATCTTGGGGGCCTCTTGGACCGTCTTCGGCGCATCTAAGACGAAAATGGCGATAATGTTAAAATGCTTCACAACCTATTAGCAACTTTACTATTGTACCCTCGTGGGGCCCTCTTGGGGGTCCTCTTGGGATCTCCTTGAGGCGTCTTGGAGGCCTCTTGGGCCGTCTTCAGGCCATCTTGGGCGTCCAGGAGCGCTCTTGGGCCGTCTCGGGCGCCTCCTGGACCGCCTTGGTGGCCTCCTGGGCCCCTTTTGGCCCGTCTTGGGGCGGTTTGGGATTCCCGGGGGGAGGGGGAACGAAACCGTGGACCCGATGAACCCCCCCCTCCCCCCCCTACCCCGGCAGAGCCACCCCGGCCCGCCCCCCGGCAGAGCTGAAGCTCAGGTTGTAGCTTTCTTAAACTCACACGCTGGATCGGCGGATTTCTAGATTAGTTTGGAATCTTATCATGTGAGGTGGTCTTACCGTCGGAGTAATTGATCATCGATCTCCCCAGTGATCGCGAGGCGGAAGGGGAGGAGCCCTCCATAAGACCCCTTTGAATTCACCAGCCTCCCCCCAAGCCCCGCAAAACCCCTCGAGTCCCTTTGCGCCACCCTTCCTGCTTTCCTCCTGTGCCGTCTCCCCTCCCTCACCCTTCCCCTAGGCTCTCCCTTGCCCTCGGGCCACTCTTCCCCTCTCCCCCGTCTCACCTCTCCGCCATCCCGCAGGGCTTCACCTTTGTGGCCAGCGGCGGGCGCGCCGCTGCCCTCAGCACGGCCGCGGTGTGCATGGCTTGTGCGAGCTGCGGTGCCGTGTCGGCGCAGTGGGGGGTTTGGGCCGACGAGGAAGCTTGCGAGAGCAGATGAAGAACATGATGATGAGGAGGAGGAGGAGGAGGAGGAGGAGGAGGAGGAGGAGGAGGAGGAGGAGGAGGAGGAGGAAAGGGATGAGGATGAGGATGAGGATGAGGGGGAGGTGGAGGAGAGGGAGGAGGATTCCTCCTCTTCCTCCTCCTCTTCCTCCTCCTCTACCTCTACCTCTACCTCTTCCTTGTCCGATTCCTATTCCTATTCCTCTTCCTCCCTCTCTCTTTCTTTCTTTCTTTCTTTCTTTCTCTCTTCCTCTCTCTTTCTCTCCCTCCTCCTCCACTCACTTCCTCCCTCCTTCCCCCTTTCCCCCCCTCCCTGCCCTCAGCTGTCGGCGAGCTGGGGTCACGTCAATCGGGGCGCCGCAGCAGCGCGCGTGGCAGGCTTCGGCCGCGCAAGTCTGGCGCAGCGCAGCGGCGTTCGTTCGCGCCCGCGGCCATTCTGTCTTGCGGCGTGCACGCGGACTAACGCGTAAAAGAAGGAAAGGAAAATGACTGCTGCGGCTTTCTTGCCATTGCCGACAGGTCTTAAACTTGTTCACCCATTCCACCCGCTATTCTACTTGGTAGCGGAGTTGGGAACGATCCCAGCTCGCGATCCACCGACTGCGCAGAGTGCGATTTGGACGCGCGCTCGCACTTCCCCCCACCTCTCCAACGCTAGCGCGCTGTATTCCGTGAGCAGTTTGTGCTAAAATTGTTTATTTGACCAGCTTTCGGGTAATTCGCCCTGCGCGTTTACAAGTACGATGAGGCCAACGCCAGACCGTACGAAACGTCAGGGTCTGTCTGTAAGGGCATCAGCAGCTGAAGGCGCCGTGAGGCTTGTGTTCGCCCATAAAAGGGGATGCCACGACACCGTGTAACCGTCGCAGCCCCACAGGTGCTAGCAATGTCTTCGCGTCGGGCATGACAGCGCGCCACCTGTTGACTGGGCCAGAATCGTGCGTCGCGATGCGTGCAACTGTGCCGGTTGGCTTTTGTGCGAGCACGTTGCATTTCGCGAGTGGAAGACAACGCACATGTACCTTTGCGCACCACCATTGGCACCAGCCAAGCAGCGCAATAGCACCACCACGACTGTCACTGGCTTTTACATGGCGTTCGTCTTTGCGCAGGCCCAAGTCCCAAGGCGCTTCCGCAGCTCTCATCGTGGTGTTGTCACTACCGCGGATGATCTCAATTGTGGCGCTCGGGGGGGGCATGTTTCTTATCACCAACCTGATGTCGCCGATGTTCGTTCTTGCCCAGTCTGTATGCCCTACGGCTCAAACCCGTCTCAAGCCTTATCGGGGACCCCGGGGATCAAGGGGGCGCCCAGACGCTGCGACCGCGCGTCCCGTGTGGGCCCCTCGCCCCGACCCCGGCCGCGCCATCGCCAGCAATCTGCCTCGGCCGCCCCGCCGGTAGCCGGCGCAGATCGCCCTCCACGATCATGCACGCTGCGGCAGATGAATGGGGGAGCTCGACATTGGGTGGGAACTTGTGGATGTCACGACAGTGCGGAGTGTGGAGACCCATGGACAGGGGGCCGTTGACGACCCACCTGGGTCCACTCACCATGCGACCCGTCTGGCCCCCCCCCCCCTCTAGAGCAGAATGGCTGTGCGCGGATCGCCCGGTGACGAGCGAATGTCGATCGCGGGGAGTGCGCTTGGGTCGCGGTCCAATTTGTGCCCTGAAGGGGCCCGGCCAGGCCTCCCTCGGGGGGCCCCCGGAGCTGAGGCCCCCGCCTGGAGGCGAGGCCCGCCCCCAACGCGCCGTCCGACCCAGGGGGGCCCAGCGACGGCAGTGCATATCGTGTTCGGGACCTGCAGGGCCAGGCGGGCTCCGATTCGCTCGCCCGCGCGGCAGTTTGTCGCGCGCCTGGCGCGTCCGCAGTGCACCTGGCGCCCCTGGGGGCACGGGGCTCTGGAGACTTGGGCGCGCGCGCAGGGGCTCGCGGGGGCCCCTGCGGCCCCCCCCCGTGAAGGCCTCATCGATGCGTCTTGCGACGGCGCCGCCCCGCCTGGACGTCGCGTTCGCCCCCGGCCGCGCGGCCGCGACGGGGGGCCAGGGCGGCGCCGATTCATTTGTCTGCGCGGCATTTTGCCGCGCCCCTGGTGCGATCGGCGTGGGAAGTGGCGGGCGCCCGCGGAGGCGCTCGCGAGCGCCGCGCCCCCGGCGGAAACTTGGAATACGGGCCTCGCGGCGCCCCCGCGCCCCCCGATGATGGCAGGCGCGGGCCCGCGCTGCCGCCGGGCCCGTCGGGAGGTGGCGCGGTCGGCCGAGACCGCGCAGCCGAACCTCGGGCTCTGGTGGACGTTCATCCACCTGTCTGCGGGGCAGTTCGTCGCATCCCTGGCGCGCGCGCTGATGGAAGCGGCAGCTGCATCTCGCCCGCGCCGCTGGGCCTTTCCCGAGACGCGGCGCGCGGAGCTCGAGCCGATCCCTGGCCTTCCTGACCTGCGGCGGTGGCGCATACCTGGGGGATCTCGATGATGGGCTTTCCGGCAGCCCCGCCCCCCCGGTCGGCGCTGGGCCCGGTCCTGCGCCGCCGCCCGTCCCGCCGGGGCGCGGCGGTGCCGGCCTGGGCCGCGCCGTGGGCCCGCGGGCCAGAGAGCGTCCACGCACGCCTGTCTGCGCGGCTGGTAGTCCCAACCCTGGATCGACTAGCGATCGCGACGCTCGCTGGCACTGCGTGGACATGGGCGACGGCCGCCCTGTTCGCGGGCCTAGGCCCCCAGCGGCGCCCACTTGACGAACCGCGCGGCGGGGCCGCCCGGCGGGGCCCTGGCGCAGACGCCCCACCCGCCGGCGGCCACGCAATGCTTCGGGCGCTCGCCAGCCGGCCATGGAGGAACCCTGAGGGGCCAGAACGACGAGCCGCTCGGGCCCATGGTGGGCGCCGCGCCTGGATCATGCTGGGGCAAACCGACGACTCGGGCAGCGGAGCTCGACCGCGCTGCCCGCGTCTGCAACTACCGCGCGCGAGCGCCGGCGAGGGCCGGGCCCGCCGGAGCTGATCCAGGCGCCAACCTGGGAAATTTGGCAGCGCCAGGGCGGCGACGTCGACCGGATGCCAGAACCACAAGGTGAACCGCGCGCCACGGGGCTGACGCAGAACGGGCCGGGAGGGAGGGGGGAGAGGGGGCCGAGAGAGCCCTCTGCCCGCCTGGGGCCGTCCGACTGGAGGGCCCCGACGAGAGACGCAGTCCGGGGCCGCCCCTAGCGTTCGCGTGAATTTGGGCGTCGTGATGGTCGACCTGGCCGATTCTCCTCCGATCGCGCTCAGGTCGTCCTCGGGCAGCCGGTCGCTCCCGGGGCACTTCCCCTCGCCCGCCCGCGCCCTGGCCCCGCGTGACTTGGAGATTGCCGCGCCCTTCGCGACCTCGCCCGACCCTGGCGCCCCCGCTGCTCCATTCCGGGATGGGAGGAGATTGCCGGGCCGAGGCGCAGGGTTTGAGTTCCCTGGCGCGGGCCGCGGGTGGAGAAGGGACTGCTCAGCCCCTTCCGCGCTGAAGGGCGCGCGCATGTTCCCCGCGTGCGAACGCTGGGGCGCGGGGGCGGCGTGGCCCCGCGGTCGCCGATGCCCATGATGAGGCCGCCCCTTGTCCGCCGCGGCGCCCTGGCGGCCATGGCGCCCTGCCGTGGGCCGCGTGCCAGCGGCGGTGCGCGGCGGTTCCTGGGCCCCCCCTGATCGGGGCGACCAGAGTGGGCGCGGAGGGCATCGGCGCGATGCCCAACAGCAGTGGTGATTCATGTTGAACAAGACTCGCTGTCTGCGCCGCCGCGGACGACGTCCGCGGTCGACGTCGGGCCACCTGCCCAGCGCCGGCCACTGTCGGTTTTGGATTACGCTTGTTGTATGACATTTCGGGCGCCCAGATTTAGGGTGGGGTCGGGACGTCGCGGGGGTTGGTTGGCCCCCCTCCCAGACCCCCGCATCGATGGGTGTTTTTTCCCTACCTAGGCTCTGCCTAGGGCCTAGAGGGTTCTTATTCTCTTTCTTAGAGGGGCCGGGCAGTGCAAAGCGCCCCGGGCGGTTCCCCCAGTCTCCGCCCCGCGGTTTCCCCAGTTACGTCCCCTTAGCTTAGCGTTGCTTATCTCATCTTAGCTTTAGCTTAGCTTAGCTTAGCTTAGCTTAGCTTAGCTTAGCTTACCTTAGCTTCATTTTAGCTTCGCTTAGCTGTAGCTTAGCTTAGCTCAGCTCAGCTTAACTTAGCTTAGCTTAGCTTAGCTTAGCATCTCATAGCATAGCCCAGCATATCATAGCATAGCGCAGCATAGCATAGCATATCATAGCATAGCATAGCGCCGTATAGCACAGCATATCATAGCATAGCGCAGCATATCATAGCATACCATAGCCTAGCGTAACATAGCGCAGCCTAGCGTAGCTTAGCATAGCGCAGCATAGCGCAGCATACCATAGCATAGCATATCATAGCATAGTGCAGCATAGCATAGCATAGCATAGCTGCAACGCAGAGGCAAAGCACAAGCAAAACCAAGCAAAAGCAACACAAGCAAAAGCAAAGGCAACTGCGACGATGAGGAGAAGGAGGAGGACGGTGTTTACCGTTACTACTAATGCTGCTTTCCTAGGGGCTCCAACTCCTGGGTAGGGTCGCACAGGGGTAATTTTCCCAATGGGTTAGGGGGGGCTGGTGGGTTGCCGCCCGGAAAACCTTCCAAGGCGGGTTCTTGGAGGGTCAGGGGGGGGGGGGGGGGGGGCGGTGCTTTCTCTCTTGGGCTCCCTTCTTAATCGTTTTTCTTTCGGGGTGGGTCGCGGGAGTTGGTGCCCCCCCCGCCCCGCGCCTTCGTGTGTGGATGTATATGTGTGTTTATATATGTGTATGCATGCACACATATACACAAACATTTTTCGAATTTGCACGCGCGCGCGCCCGCGCGCGCGCGCACGCACGCACGCGCACGCACGCGCACACACGCACGCACACGCACACGCACGCGCACCCACCCACACACACGCGCACACGCACGCGGGCACGCCCACGCACATACACACGCACGCACGCACGCACGCACATACACACACAAACACACAACACACAAACACAGAAACACACACACACGCACACTCGAACACATAAACACCCAAACGCACACAGAAACACATAACATATACACACACGCGCACACACACGCACGCACACACACACACACGCACACGCACGCGCACACGCACCCGCGCGCACGCGCGCATGCCCACGCACGCGCACGCGCACACTCACACGCAGACGCACACGCTCGCGCGCGCGCACGCGCGCGCGCGCGTGAACGGGCGCGGGCGCGGGCGCGGGCGCGGGCGCAGGCACCGACTGGCACAGGCGCAGGCACAGGCACAGACGCAGACACAGACGCAGATTCAAACACAGACGTAGACGCAGACGCAGACACAGACACAGACACAGACACAGACGCAGACAGGCACAGGCAGAAGCACAGACACAGGCACAGACACAGACACAGACACAGACACAGACACAGACACAGTCACAGACACAGACACAGACACAGGCACAGACACAGACACAGACAGACACAGACACAGACACAGACACAGTCACAGACACAGACACAGGCACAGGCACAGACACAGACGCAGACAGAGACACAGACACAGCCGCAGCCACAGCCACAGCCACATCCGTAGCCATTTTGGTTCAAGGCCATGGAGCACCCGACGACCGCGAGTCGTCCGCGGCGCTCTGAGCGCGAGGGGCTCTGCGCTTTGGGCCTGCTCTCGGGTGTTTGTTCTCCGAGCCTCCGGTCTCAGCCGAGAGGCCGCAGTTTTGGGCCGCGAGGCCATGCGACGGGGTCAGCCGTGCCATGGTGGCGTACGGACAGCCAGCTTGAGGCCGCTCCTGGGCCAGCGTCGCAGCGGGCGGCAAGGCCAAGGGCAACTGGAGCTACTGGGTCTGCTCCAGCGGCCAGTGCAGGTAGTGGAACTGGTGCTCGCTCTGGAAGTGCCGCAGCTGCGGCCGAGTGGCCCCGCCTTGGGTCAAGGCAGCCCAGCCGCCCGCGGCCGTCGCTGGCCAGGAGCCGCCCGTCGCCGACGCCGAGGGCTTCGTCGTCCAGCCCCGTGGGAGGAAGGCGAGGCGCCAGGCCAGGCGCGCTGCTGCCCGCGCGGCCAGCGCGGGGGCCGCCAGTCTGGCAGGCGTCAGCGAGGCCAGCAGCGTGCAGCCGTCGGCCGTCGAGCGGCGCCGCCAGGAGGTAAAGCGCATCGAGGACTTCCTCGCGGCCCCTGGCGGGGCCATCGACGATGCGTGCCTGCAGTCGCTGCGCGCGGCCCTCGACCGCGAGCGTCGCAGGCTCTCGGCAGCCGAGGCGGCGCAGGCGGGGCGCAGGAAGGCCGACGTCCCCCTGCCCAAAGCGCTCCACGGCGCAGGCAACGCCCTGGGGAAGCTGGTCAGGCAGGGGCGGGCCAAGGAGCAGGCGCTGCTCAAGGCAGAGGAGGCCCACGCGGCAGCCATCGGAGAGCGCGAGGCGGCCATCGCGCGCGAGGCCGCATGCGCCGAGGCTGTCGAGGAGTGCCGGGCTGCTCTCGAGGCTCACCGCGAGGAGTAGAAGGCCGCAGAGGCCAGGCAAGCCAAGGAGGTCGGCGCGGCCTTCGTCGGCACGGACTTGCTCGGGATGGTCTTCGGCCTCATCCAGCAGGTCGAGGCCTTGCCCCAAGGATTCGCCGCGGGCATCGGGGAGGCCGCATTCGCTGAGGTCGCCAAGCAGATCGCAGCGGTCCGCAGGCATGCACCCCCCGAGGCCAGGGGGCGCTCATCCTGGGCCGACAACCCCCTCGACGTCTCTGACGAGGACCTCGACGGAGATGAGGATGAGCGGGTGCGTGCGTCGTCTCCCCCCCCCCCCCCCCCTCTGCAGGACGCGGCCGAGCGCGGCTAGGCTGCGCGGCGAGGAGAGGCGCACGGTGCGTGTCCCTCAGCCCAGCCGCTGGCCAGGGACCTGGCCAACGCTGGGGCAGCCCTCCTCGACGACCAGCCGCTGGCGACGGCTGCTGGTGGCCGTGCTGCTGTGGGTCGCAGTCGGGTTTGACGTCGTTTCGGCAGGCCCGTGTTCGGTTGACAGCAGGAGGGTCAGACGGCGCTTGAGTGAGCAGGTGCCAGTGGGGCGGGGGGCCCAATGCCCTTCCCTGGGCTTGGGCAAACCTGCGAGGGCGGCACCTGGCCGAGGGGGCGCGGTGAGGGCCGCCGACGGGCGGGTGGCCGATGCCCCTCACCCCCCGCGCTCCCCGTCGAGGCCGCTGACGAGCGGGTGGCCGAGACCCTCGGCGGGCGCAGCGAAGCCAAGGTGTCAAACGACTAGAGGACGAGGATGACGGCACAGGAGGCCTGCATTGGCAAGGCTCGCCTCGGGCCGCAGCCTGCCCCTGAGTCGGACCCTCGAGGGCCCTGCCCCCTGCGTGCTGGCCTGGAGGTCCTGGGTTGCAACGGTAACGTCTGGAACAGGAGCGTCGAGGTCCTCGAGGCCTTCTTCCACGCCCACCAGTACTGGCCGCAGCTGGTCCTCCTTCAGGAGACGAGGCTAACCCAGGAGCGCCTTCCTGGGGCCAGGGCGCTGGCACGCCGCCTCGGCTACACCGCCTTCTTCCACGAGGCGGTGGCCGCGGACCAGCCTGGCCCGAACGCCACGTCGGGCGGCGTCGCGATCCTGGTGAGGGCTGGACTCCAGGCCGAGGAGTCCGCCTGCCAGCTCCCTGCGGCCCTTCGCCACCGCCTCATCGGCGTAGAGGTGGCGGCGCCGTCGGGCCTCCGCCTCCTGGCCTTGGCTGGGTACTTCCAGCACTCCGTAGGCCCGCGGGGGATCAACCTCGACTTGTTCTCCTCGGTCTCGGACCTAGTGGCATTCTCGCTCGACTTGCCCTGGGTCCTTCAGGCTGATTTCAACATGGAGCCCGAGCCCCTGCAGGAGTTGGGCTGGCCTGCAGCGGTTCGCGGGCAGGTGCTCGGACCCTCAGAGGCGACCTGCTGCGCCCAGGGCTTGGAGCACGTCTACGACTGGTTCGTCGCGTCGTCCGACCTGGCCACGTGCGCGGCGTCCTGCTCGACCACGCTCAACGACTTCGGGCTGCGCCCGCACTCTCCTGTGATGCTGCGCCTCCAGGACGTCAGGTGCGATGCCCTGGTCGAGGTGCCCTCCCGTCCTGCTCGGTTTCCAGATGTGGAGGTCAAAGGCCTGCGCTCCCGCGAGGACGCCCTGGTACAGGCCTTCACTGTCGGCAAGCGCGGGAAGGTGTCGCAGAAGGCGGTAGCTTGGTCATGGGCTCAGGGTTCGCGCCCGACCTGTCTCTCCGCTGCCTTCGGCGAGTGGATCGAGGCGGCGGAGGGCGCTCTCACGGGCATCCACGGGATTGCGCCAGGCGACCTGCCGCGCTACCTTGGGCGAGGTGCACGGCCCAGGACCAGGCGCGTGCCCTTCAGCGCGCTGGTGCAGCGCGAGGCCAGGTTGAAGTGCAGCGTGCTGACCCACCGCCTGAGGAGCTGCCTAGCGGTCGCCCTCCAGAGGCTTCGCGCCGAGCAGGCCAGCAGGTGGTACCCGATCCACTCTTGGTGGTATGAGCAGGAGGCTGCGGCGAGGGCGAAGCTCCTGGACGAGGCGACCCAGGAGGAGACTGGTCTTCGGAGCGTGCCCCTCCCTGGGGCCTCCGACGAGAAGTGGGGTGACCTCGCCTACCACGCGGGGGTGAAGGGCTGCCCCACGGCGATCGCCAAGCTGCAGTCGTGGCTCCTGGCGTCCCAGAGGCGCGATGCCGCTGAAGGCGCGGCCGCTTGGCGCAGCTGGGCCCAGGCGGCGGTGGAGAAAGGGGGCCGCCTGGCCCACCGCTTCTCCAAGGCGGCTCCCACGCCTGTTGTCAGAGACGCCGACGCTGGGAAGCCGCTCGTCGGCGTGGACGCCGTGGACCAGCTCGCGCGCACGTGGCAGCGGCTCTGGCTCCAGGAAGGCTTCTCCAGCTGAGTCGGAGCCCACCGGTGGGATGTTGGCTCCTGGACGCTGCCGCCCATCACCCTGGAGGCCTTGCAGCAGGCGTGCAAGCGCTACGGACCGTCTGTGGGGCTGGGCTGCGACAACCTGCACCCTCGCCAGCTCCTTCTACTGCCAGTGGCGCTGCAGCTTCGCCTGATTGACATCCTCACGGCGCTCGAGGACGAGCCTTCTTCGATCATGGGACAGGTGACGCTCATGGTTTTCATTCCTAAAGCTGACGGAGGGGCGAGGCCCATCGCGCTGCTCCCGCTGGCCTTGCGGCTTTGGTCTCGCCTGAGGCAGCCGTGCTGTGCCCGATGGGAGTCAGACCACAGCTTCCCCTTCTTGTGGGGTCGCGATGGCCGTGATTGCGAGAGAGCGGGTTGGATCCACAACTGCTTCGCGGGCTTCGCTATGGCCTCCCCGCATTTCGAGGTGGCCAGCCTGTTCCTGGACATCCGCAAGTTCTACGAGCACGTGCGCCACGACGTCCTCTGGACGTCAGCCCAGCGCTTCGGCTTCAACCTGAAGCTGCTGCGCGGCCTCCTCGCCATCTACCAGGCCCCGAGGATCGTGCTGGTAGGTGGCATGGCTTCGGCCCCCTTTGGGGTCAGTGGCACAGTGCTGGCGGGCTGCGCGTGCGCGACGGCTGTTGCTAAGCTTCCCCTACTTGGAGGCCTCCTCGCAGCAGGGGCTCAGCGGCCTCTTGCCACCCTGCGCAACTTGGTGGACGACGTCTCGCTCCAAGTTGTCGGCTCGGCGAGGCTGGTTGTGGACCAGCTCGTGGGGGCCAGTGAGGAAGTGCTGCGACACCTGCGGGCCCACCACCTCCCGCTCAACAAGGGCAAGTCCTTGTTCCTGACCTCGTCGGCACAGGTGGCGGACGGCCTCGCCGCCAGCTGGGCCGCCCTCGGCTTCGATGTCAAGCGCGGCTCCCAGGCCCGCAACCTGGGCACCGACGCCAACGTGACTCGCAGAGGGGTCCACGAGGGAGCCGCCCGTGCTGTGGGGGGCCTCTCCCGTGCCAGGCGGCTGAGAACCCTGGGCTCGGCGGGGGCCGCGGTGGTGCACATGCGCCGCGCAGGCCCAACCGCCGCCATGCTGTGGGGCAGGTCGGTCACAGGGGTGCCCGACGGCGGGTTGCACTCCTGGCGCCTGACGTCTGCGCGCTCGGCTGGGAAGCTTCCCAAGGGCGCCGCCCTTGGGCTGAGGCTCAGGGCGATCGAGGTGCAGCGCTCCACTGACCTGGGCCCGAGCCCAGCCCTGGTCCGTGCCGCGGTGCAGATGGCAGCCAGCCTCCTTCAGTCGGGCGAGGTGCCCCTGATGATGTTCGCTACCTGCCTGGCGGAGGCCGAGCGCAGGCACGGCAGCGCCAGGGCGCCCTGGGTGAACTGCAAGAACCCCGTCGACGCCCTGGCCCTCTCTCTGTTGCGGGTTGGGTGGCGCCTCTCGGCTGGGCACATCCTGCGCACCGACGACGGCCACGTTTTGGACATGCTGATCATGGGCCCCCGCGAGCTCGGGCTGCTGGCCGCGGCAGGTGCCCGCAGGGCCTCCGACAGGGCTGAGATGACGCGGCTCGGGCACGGAGCCCCCCCCCCCCATGCCCTTGTTTTGGGGCGCACTTGGGCAGGTCATCGGCCCGCGCGGCAGGTTCAGCTGCAGGGAGAAGGCTGCGGTGGTGAGCTACCTGTCCAACGCCCACTGGCCGCAGACTCGCCTCTTCGCGTCTGGCGAGCGGGGCCGCCCTCGCTGCTGCGCCTGCGGCGAGGCGCGTGGCAGCCTCTGGCACAGGCTTTTCGAGTGCCAAGCCCTGGCCGCTGAGAGGAGGGACTCGGTGTCCGCCCGCCTCCTTCGCTGCGCCACTCGAGTGAGGCAGCGAGGTGAGGAGGCAGAGGGGGTGCTTCTCCAGGTGCTGGCTGCCGCAGCCCCTGCAGGCGGCCTGCAGGTCGGACGCGATGGCAGTCATGTGGGTGAACAGGCCTGCCGACGGGCTGCTAGGCGGTTGCCTCTACCTCGACGGCTCGGCTCTCGACCCTGAGTTCGAATGCATCCGCAGGGCTGGCTGGAGTATCGTGCAGTGCGACGTGTTCGGCAACATGCAGGCGGCGGTGTACGGCACGGTCCGCCTCGACCTGTGCCCCTTCCAGACGGCGAAGGACGGCGAGGACTTCGCGGTCTGGATGCTGAGCCGCTACCTCGGGCCTTCGGTCATCGAGATCAACATCGACTGTGCGTCCACGGTCAGCTGCTTGAAGCTCGGCAGGAAGTATGCGACGGCGGCCGACAAGCCCAATGCACACCTGTGGTCGGCCGTCTACGCCTCGCTGGACGTCGACTCGCTCAATGTGAACAAGGTGGCGGCCCACTGCTTCGAGATCGATGTTCGCGAGGGCAGGATCTCGGAGTGTCAGTGGCGTGGGAACGCCCACGCCGACAGGCTGGCGAATGCGGGGGCGGCCCTCCACAGGGTCAGCGCGGCTGCCATGCGCGAGTTCTTCGGCGCGATGGAGGTTCGTGAGAGAGCTCTCCAGGTGGATCGCGCAGGCCTCGATCGTCTGGCAGGGCAGGGCCTCCAAGGACTGCGAGGGCCTCCCTGAGTGCGACGAGCGAAGGGCTGCTGTCACCTTCGCGGTCCCGCTGGAGGAGCGTGCTGACGGCCTGCGGGCGGCTCCCGTGAGCGAGTCGGATGCCGCGCCCGCCGCCGTGGAGGCCCGCGGGGAGCAGGCAGGCAGCCGCCCCGCCGCTGTGGGTGCCTGGGCCTCGGCGGCGCGCGACGGCGGAGTAGCACTGGGCGCCCTGGTCTTCGCCGTCGCTGGGCACGCCCTCGCGTGCGCCAGGTGCGGTGAGGACGGCGACGAGCAGGAGATCATTGCGTGCACCAGGTGCGGAGCGTATGCGAGGCTAGGCGGGCGCCCTGGCCCGCAGCCCAAGCTCAGGGAGCGCTGTTCTGGAGCAGCGGGCCTCCCCAGGTCGCTGCGGGACCAGAAGTCGCGGTGGGAGCGTGGCCTCCACCCTGGGGGCACGCCACACGCTCGCGACACGCGGAGGAAGGGGGCGGAGGCCCCCCGCCTTCGCAAGGAGGCCGAGGTGCCGCAGGACGCCAGGGTGCGCTTCCTGAAGTGGCTCGGAGTTCTGCCTGATGCCCCAGCAGGCGTCGAGAGCGACGCCTCGGTGGCTGGCGCTGCTGGGGGCGGCGCTGGCGGTGCGGCCTCCTCCTCGACAGAGGCGCCTGCTGCGGCTGGAGGCGCCGCGGCGGGAGCGGGATCGCGGCAGGCCTGGCTGGAAGCCTACGGCCTCGATGAGGAGAGCATGCAGAGCTGGGCTGAGGAGGCCGAGGAGGCCCGACTCGAGCGCCAGAGCAGGAAGCGGCGCAGAGATGACGGAGAAGGAGGTGATTGAGTCCGCGCTGGCCTCAGCCTTGGGGCGCTCGGACCGCGCGAACGCGCGTGTGCCGAGCCTTGGCTGCTCCTGGCTGTGGAGCGCCAGCCTGCCTCTCCTCCTGTCCTCCCTCGGCGTCCGTCTCCTGTCCTCCCGTGCGTGTTGGGCCCCTGTTGGCCGCGGGCCTCGGCGCGTGGGCGTGAAGCTTCCTGCGCCTCGCCTGCCTCGCCGTGCTGCTTGGGGCTGTGCAAGCATGTTTGGGGCGTCGCCCTTCGTTTGTCTGCGCGGGTGTATATATTCCAGCGCTGCGCGCTGATGCCCCTCGACGGGGGTCTGAGCTGACAGGCCGAGCGGTGCCTCGGGGCCAATGCGCCCTGGAGGTAGCCTTCTGCGGCTCGTCTGGGCTCTTGGGGTCCCTTGTGGCCCGCCCCCTGTCTTGGGACGGCCCCCTGTGGCTTTGGCCCCTCAGTGGGGCCTGGGCCCTTTGTGGGCTCCTTTTTAGCCTTTATAGGCCCCGCTTCAACAGCCGCAGCCACAGCCACAGCCACAGTCACAGCCACAGCCACAGCCACAGAGACAGAGACAGACGCGCAGACACAGACACAGACACAGACACAGGCACAGGCACAACAACAGGCACAGGCACAGACACAGGCACAGGCACAGGCACAGGCACCGGCACCGACACAGACACAGACACAGACACAAACACAGACACAGACACAAACACAGACACAGACACAGACACAGACGCAAACGCAGACGCACAGTCACAGGCACAGACACGGACACAGAAACGGACGCGGACGCGGGCGCGGACACGGACACGGACACGGACACAGACACAGACGCAGACTCACACACAGACATAGACACAGACACAGAACAACGACACCGACACCGACACGGACACGGACACGGACACCGACACCGACACCAGCACCGGCACCGACACCGACACCGACACCGACACCGACACCGACACCGACACCGGCACCGGCACCGACACCGACACCGACACCGACACCGACACCGACACCGACACCAGCACCGACACCGACACCGACACCGACACAGACAAAAACACGGACACCGACACCGACGCCGACACCGACACCGACACGGACGCCGACACCGACACCGACACCGACACAGACACAGACACAGACACAGCCACAGGAACAGGCACAGGCACAGGCACAGACACAGGCACAGGCACAGGCGCTGGCACAGACACAGACACGTGCACAGGCACAGGCACCAGCACCGACACAGACATAGACACAGACACAGATTCAGGCACAGACTCAGACACAGACACAGACAAAGACACAGACACAGACACAGACACAGACACAGGCACAGGCACAGGCACAGGTACAGGCACAGACACAGACACAGACACAGACACAGACACAGACAACAGACACAGGCACAGGCACAGAACAGACAGACACACACACAGACACAGACACAGACACAGACACAGACACAGACGCAGCCGCAGCCACAGCCACAGCCACAGCCACAGCCCCAGCCACAGACACAGACACAGACACAGACACAGACACAGGCACAGGCACAGGCACAGGCACAGGCGCACGCACAGGCACAGGCGCAGGCACAGGCACAGGCACAAGCACACACGCAGACACAGGCACAGACACAGACACAGGCACAGACATAGTGGGCCGCCGCCTCATGTTTCCAAGGCAAGCGCCCGTGAAACGCGTTCTCTCCGAGCAAGAGCCAGACACATCTACACCATACACAAACTGAGGCATTTTCTTCGGCAGGTGATTTTCCAGATGTCCCACTGGGCCAGCTAACATGGTGGTCCCGAGCTGGAACCGTGTGTTTTCAAGTGCCCAGGCCACCCTGGCGGCTATCTAACATAGTGGTCCCGAGCTGGAACTGCGGTCGCGGTCGTCGCCTTCCGCCGTCATTGTTGTCGTCGGCGTTTCGGCCCGCCCTTTCTCGCCGGATTTTGCCTCGGGCTTAGACTCCCCATTATCATTTCGCCCTGTTGCGGAACATACTCCTTGCTTATGGTTTCGCTGTCAATCTTGTGTGGGCGACCGATGCGCCCAGGCAGCTCGAGCTTGAGGCCGAGCTCAATTCTGTCAGGATCCGGACGCCAGGGAAGATTTGATCCATGACACAACAGGGCACAGAACTGTTCGGATTCGCCCCCTTTCGGTTCGTCCCGCTTCCGACCTGAATCGGATCTTGAGCTCGAGCTGGTCGAGCGCCCCGCGCGTGTCGATTGCTGCTTGATAGGTGTTAAGCGTTCAGGAAGCTCGAGCCTAAGATCCATATCAGTTCGATCGGGGTTCACAATGCAATATAGCACAACATTTCAACGCGGCATGGTGCGTCTCAGTTCATCACAGCACGGCATAGCACAGCTCAGCCCCTGGCACTGTACATCACCATCGCTACCTTGAGCATTCCAACTGCCCTTTGGCCAAAATTGATGCCAAAATTGTGGCCTCTGTTCTCTTTCCGGATTTGTGCGTCGATCATGTCTTGGGGGGATCCAAATAATACAGGTGTAGCAAAAAAGAAAAAGGCACGACGGTGGCACAGGGTGGCCCTCCCCGTGTGGCCCTCCTTCGGCGGTCCAGGGGGCGAGGGAGAGGAGGATCCTCCACCTGGTCCTCCTCGCGTTGCTGCTGCTGATAGTCCTCCTTGTTCGGCTTCTGCCCAGATCGGTGGGCTCCTGCTGCCTTGCGGGCTGAGAACGCTGGGGCAGGGCAGGCGCTGGTGGTGAGCTGCCTGCTGGCCCCACCCGCGCTCCTGATAGTCCTCATGATGGCGCTGGCCGTTTGGCTTTCGAACGTGATGAGCCCCTGCGATCAGCCTCTGGACGCATGGCTGGGGGGGGGACTGGCTGCGGACGCAGCAGTTGCAGCCACGGGTGGTGGGGAAAACGAGGGGGAGGGGGAGGGGGATGGAGTTGGGTAGGAGTGGGAGATCGAGGAGAAGGAGGGGGGGATATTGCAGGCGCAGGCGCCTGAGCTAAAAGGGTTCAGCTAAAGCTGAGCACTGAGACTATGGTGATGCTGAAGCTCACGTTGTCGGTTCCATGCCGCAGGCTTCATGATGTCCGCGTGTGCGAAGAATGTCTTCTGATTACGCTTGGAGGAAGTCGGGGGAGTGGGGAAGTCCCAGGGGTTTCGTGATCCCCCTCCTCGAAAGTGAAAGTCGGCTGGGGGTGGGTTGGACCCCTCCCCGGCGCTGGCAAACGACGACGACGACAACGAGGAGGACGACGACGACGACGAAGACCACGACAACGACAACAACAAGTACGTATCCTGTCCGCCCGCCCGCCCTGGCGCCAGCATAATACGACGACGGACGACACCGACGACAACGAGGAGGAGGAGGAGGAGGACGACGACGACGACGACGAGTCCCGCCTGCCGCTCGAACAACGACGACGACGGCGACTGCGATGACGACGACGAATAAAGACGAATGACAACGACGGCGAATGACGACGACGTGTCCCACCAGATCGACCGACTCGCCGACAACGACGACGACGACGGCGTTTGCGATGGCAACGGCCAACAACGATGGCGTGTCCTGCACAACCGACCAGCTCGCCGACAACGACGTCGCTTGCCGGCGGCGGGAGGGGGTGCGGGAGGTTCGGTGGGTGCATGGGGGTTCTCGAGGGGGGGCGGGGGACCTGGTTCCAGAGAGGAGGGGAGGGATCTTCGGAGCGGGCGCTGTTCTGGTTCCAGGGGACGGGGTGGGAGGATTTGCCACCAGCGCAGAATTTCCCAACGTCGCTTTCTCGTGTGTTAACATCGGCCCAGAGTAGAAGGTTGTTCGGCCATCCGGAACTAGTAAGTCAGGAAGGCGAGCGTAAAACATCTGAGACATGTGTGAGACCGCTGCCGTCACACATGTTCACGTTTCCCCCAGGTTCTGACTTCCGTTCAGTTGTTCCTGATGTACAACCCGCCCCGTCACACATGTTGCTTCTTCTGACGCGCGTGTGGTCAAGTTGAGCGATGGATTGGGGTAATTACTTAGGACATGGGATGCCTTCTTTGTTTGTAGGGCTGCTATGGCTCGGCCAGGCTGGGAGTCTACCTGGCATATCCGCACCGCTACGCGGCAGCATTCTTGTGAGGAGGGAGAGGAGAGATGGGGTTCGGATGAGAGTTGGATGGGGATCGGGGGGAAGTGATGAAGTGGGAGGAGGATGGAGTGCGGGACGCGATGAGGCGTGTATGAGACGCGAGGGGGGATGGAGAGGCAGCGACAGCGGCCAGACGCGGGATGTGGCACAGAGGACGTGGGGCGGGGTGAGCTCTTTGCATACTGCCCCGAGCCCGAGAGCCTCACCTGCGAAGAGCAAGACGAGGGGAGGGGGGGCCTGATGTGCCCCCCCTGGCAGGAGGGGTTTGTCGGACGGGGCCAGGACGAGGATAAATCCGCTCCAGAGCGTTGGGGAGCGCTTTCAGAGCGTTCCGGAACGGTCTGAAAAGGCCACGGCGCCCGAGATTTTTCGAGATCCGCGGGACCTCAGAGATTCTCGATTCATCCTCGTTCGAATGCATCCTCGTCCTGGTTTCGTTTTAGTTTTGGGGCCAGAGGAGTGGAGGCGGAGAGAGGGGCGGTCCAGGGAGCGGGCCGGAGGTGTGGTGTGGGTGGGGTGACGCGGTCGGGGGGGGCGGCCGGGCGCCCAGCCTTAGAGAGGCAGGAGTGCCTCTGTAGAGAGGGGGGGGGGGGCTCGCTCGACGCCTCGCCCTCGCCCCATCCCTCCTGCTTCTCCCTCAACTTTTTTGCTCTGTTCTGTGCGTGTCCAGGCCACCCAGGGGGGTATCTGACATGGTGGTCCCTAGCTGGAATCACGTTTTTACCTAACAACTTTTGCTGATAGGTTTCTAGTGGGATCAAAAGAGAGCATCTTGACGCCCCAGGGGGGTCTTGGCGGGATCCGAAAAAAGGAACTGGAAAAAAGCGCCAGCCCCAGGAATCCTCAGGAATCCGTAGGAATCCCTAGGAATTCTTAGGAATTCTTAGGAATCCATTCCCAGAACACCATTCCCAGGCCACATTTTGAATGCCCGGAGCCAACTGTAGGCCACTTCGTGTTCTTCGTGTTCCCAGAACACCATTCCTGTACCATAATTTGAATGCCCGGAGCCAACTGTAGGCCACTTCGTGTTCTTCGTGTTCCCAGAACACCATTCCTCTACCATATTTTGATTGCCCGGAGCCAACTGTGGGCCACTTCGTGATCTTCGTGTTCCCAGAACACCATTCTGTGCCATAATTTGAACGCCCGAGCTGAGGCAGGCTGAGGCCGAGGCAGGCTGAGGCCGAGGCAGGCTGAGGCTGACGCTGAGGCAGGCGCCGAGGCAGGCTGAGGCTGAGGCTGAGGCTGCAGGCTGAGGCTGAGGCAGGCTGAGGCTGAGGCCGAGGCTGAGGCTGACTGAGGCTGAGGCTGGCAGGCTGAGGCTGAGGCTGAGGCAGGCTGAGGCTGAGGCTGAGGCAGGCTGATGCTGAGGCAGGCTGAGGCTGAGGCTGAGGCTGAGCGCTGAGGCTGAGGCAGGCTGAGGCTGAGGCCGAGGCTGAAGGCAGAGGCTGAGGCTGAGGCTGAGGCTGAGCAGGCTGAGGCTGAGGCTGAGGCAGGCTGAGGCTGAGGCAGGCTGAGGCTGAGGCTGAGGAGGCTGAGGCTGAGGCTGAGGCTGAGGCTGAGGCTGAGGCAGGCTGAGGCTGAGGCCGAGGCTGAAGGCAGACTGAGGCTGAGGCTGAAGGCAGGCTGAGGCTGAGGCTGAGGCAGGCTGAGGCTGAGGCTGAGGATGAAGCCGAGGCATGCCGAAGTTGAGACCAGGTGAGGCTGAATGGGGGGGGGAAGGGGGGGCGGAGGAGGGGAGGCTGAGGCAGGCTGAGGCCCGAGGCAGGCTGAGGCCGAGGCAGGCTGAGGCTGAGGCTGAGGCAAGCCGAGGCAGGCTGAGGGTGAGGCTCGGCTGAGGCTGAGGCTGAGGCTGAGGCTGAGGCTGAGGCAGGCTGAGGCTGAGGCTGACGCAGGCTGAGGCCGAGGCAGGCTGAGGCTGAGGCTGAGGCAGGCTGAGGCTGAGGCCGAGGCAGGCTGAGGCTGAGGCTGAGGCTGAGGCTGAGGCTGAGGCTGAGGCTGAGGCTGAAGCTGAGGCAGGCTGAGGCATGCGTAGGAATCCATAGGAACCCTTTGGAATCCCTAGGAATCCTTAGGAATCCGTAGGCATCCTTAGGAATCCGTAGGCATATTTAAGCATCCTCAGGAATCCTTAGGAACCCTTAGGATTCCCTAGGAATCCTTAGGAATCCCCAGGAATCCCTAGGAATCAGGATTCCTAAGGATTCCGAAGGTTTCCTAAGGATTCCTATGGATTCCTAAGGATGCCGAAGGTTGCCTTAGGAATCCCTAGGAATCCTGAGGATTCCATTGGATCCTAAGGCCGTTGCCACTGCGGCTGTCATTGCGAATGCGACTGCGACTGCGAGAACAGCAGAATTCTACAACTGGATTCTCACCTGAATCTTAAGGGGAATGATTCCAGAAATGCTTATACACACCGCTGTTAGGTTGCTTTGCCAGGATATTTGTTACGTGTCCAGACTGCCCAGGGGGAAGGTAAATGCTTCGTGCCCTCGATAGAAACACATGTTTCCATGTGTTCAGGTCACTCAGGAAGGTGTCTGACATGGTGGCCCCGAGCCGGAACCACGTATTTTCACGTGTCCAGGCCACCCAAAAGGGTATCTAACATGGTGGCACCGAGCTGGAACCACATGTTTCATTGTTCCAGGCCACCCACAGGAGTATCTAACATGGTTGCCCTCAGCTGTAGACACGTGCTTCAACGTGTGCGGCCACCCAAGGTGGGGGATCTAACATGTGGTCGTCTGGGCGCGCCCAGTGTGGGGGGCCGACGAGAGCTGGACAGAATCAGTAACTCGGCGCCAGATGTATCATAACGTGGCACACTTTCGTCGGCTGGTGATTTTTCGGACTTCTGACTGGGGTATCTAACATGGTGGCTCCGAGCTGGAACCACGTGTTTTTTTATGTGTCCAGGCCACCCAGGTGGACATCTAACATGGTGGTTAGGAGCTGGAACCGCGGTCGCGGTCGTCGCTGTCCGCCGTCGTTGCCGTCGTCGGCGCTTCGGCCCGCCCCTTCTCGATGGATTTCGCCTCGGTTTGGATCCGCCCATGCTGAGGAACCTCACCTTTTCATAAGGTCTCGACTGCAATCAGCTCTGGGCGAGCAATGCGCCCAGGCAGCTCGAGCTTGAGGCCCATCTCAGTTCTGACAGGATTCGGATGCCAGGGAAGATTCGATCCACGACGCAACAGAGCACAGAACTGTTCGGATTCGTCCCCACTGAATCGGATCTTGAGCTCGAGCTGGTCGAGTGCCCCGCACGTTTTGATTGCGGCCAGATCAGAATTATGCGTTCAGGCAGTTCGAGCTCAAGACCACGGGATTTTGGCGCTCCAGCTGCTGTTGCCGACGCGCATCTTATTTCTTCCACTCGGCTGCCAATGACGCAACCTTGAGTCTGCCGACGCGTCCCTCTGGATGCATGGCTGAGCGAGCGAGCGAGCGAGGACAACCTGATTCACAATGCAATAGCTCACAACACTTCAACGCGGCATGGTGCGTCTCAGTTCATCACAGCACAGCGCAGCACAGCACAGCCCCTGGCACTGCCCGTACATCACCATCGCTACCTTGAGCATTGCAATTACCCGTCGCCCAAACATTGTGTCTTGACTAAGTTCTTGCTTCACATTTCTATATCCCTTCCCCTGGCGCGTCGCCTGGCACGTTCTCTGGCACGTCCCTTGGCGGGTCCCATGTTGCGCCCCCCCCTGGCAAGTCG